TTGAATGAAAACACTGAGGCCTAAATACACAAGTGGAGAAAAAACAGTTTTAAACAAAGCTGAACGTTTACTTAACGGTACCCTCTGCAGTAACTTAGATGCATCATTGATAAAATGCTCATAGACTCGTGTATTACTGCCAAACTATAAGTAGAACACGTGTATGGAAAAACACACCCCGGCACGCGGAAACTGCCGAGCAGTATTATCACAGCTGAGTAATACATTGCAACAAATTTGCATGTAATACGCGTCAAACAGCACAATTAATAACATACAGTATCAAACCGGTAAAAGAATTCTATCAATGATGTGTGGATATGCGAGTGCGTTGGAAAGATACTGTAGACGAGCGACAACACTACATCTGAACCCCACAGAGAAATAAATAATATACACGCGCAGTCTCTAGACACTGACATCTTAAACAACAAAATAACAACTAGAAACGCGTAAAAGCTCAGTTCCATTTTGCACACGACATAATCATCTGCCGCCTAAAAAAAAACCTCCATACAGTAAGCTGAGTGAGAAAAAGTAGAAAACCCCAGGCTGGAACGCACCAGCGTTCACGCATCTTTACATTAAACTTGAAGCCATCAGTCCCTTAATTGTATGAATGGTTGTTGCTAGTATTTTAGTTTATGTACTCATTAGCATAAATGAATGTGAATTTTGCATAAAGGAAAATGAAAAATTCCCATTAATTGGAGATGACCAGGCTGTTCAATAAACAGTTTTACCGCCAAAAATTTTACATGCCTGTGCGTGAGAACTACGCATACCTGAGAGCTGAATTTTAAATATTTAAGCTGTATGTAAACGAGAAACATCTCCTTAAAATTTCAGCATTCCAGCCTTTCCTGACTCCTGAGTTAGCAGATTTCCTGGTCTCAAACTTTCACGTGCTTGTACGCGGCGCTCAGACCTGCGTGAAGGTTGATACCGTCGTCCTGGGGTACCACTTGGCCGAGGAACTCACTGGCAAGATTTTAGCGCCGAAGCTTGCTTGGTTACCGAATTGAAATACCCGAACAAACAGACACACGCACACACACACACACACACGCACATCATGGGTCGTAACAGTATGCGTTTTTGCTCCATTTGCATATCTGCAAAAACGCATAATGAGAGTGTGGAAATTTTTGTGAA